GCCTGTCACTGCATCCTCAGAACAGGCCCTTAGCTTTCTTCAGGTTCACTTGCTTCCAGGTGGGCAGTGCGTTGAATTCATCTCTGGTCATGTCGAGCGCAAACTGGGGGAAATGTGAGAGACGCCCTGTGAGCGGCTGAGTGAAAGGATGCTCACACCAGTGTGTCATCACCATCCCAGCCAAGGGCCGGCCACTCACCTCAAAGTCTTCATCTGTGAGATAAATCTCAAGCTTTAGAGGGTCTACTCCCTCCGGGAGGGGCCTGGCAAGCAAATCTGCCAGTGGATAGATGGTTTTACAGAGCTTGGCTAGGACATCTTCTACCAGGGTGATCTGGTTGGAAACTTCAGTATCCTGGAGAGAGGGAGCAAGAGAACATTTGAGCAGATTCCTGCTGTCTATAAGGAGCTTGCAGACCACCAGCTCTGTCCCATATGGGCACAGCTTGGTCAGGAGCATGATATCACTCCACTGTGGAGTGGGGACTCAGAATATCCAGGAATTACCTCCTGACCTTCAGAGCTTTTCTCCCTCTGCCAACTTTCAAATCAACCCTGTGTTTGAACTGCTTCTGAATGAATGAATGAATGAATGAATGAATGTATGTATGTATGTTTAGGGACTTAGCTTACCTATGAGTGAACAGCAGAGAAAGATTATTGGATCTGAAATCAAAACATTAGATGCTTCTACATAGTGGAATTTGTTTGAACATACTTTAAAATAATTAAGCTAAAAAGAAGTCATGCCCTTTCCCTTTCCCCCAGGTTCCATTTCTTAATCCACAATGAGACACAAAGAAGGTAAAGGTAGAGTAATGCATAAGGCCCTGGGTTATGCACACACACACACACACACACACACACACACACACACACACACACACACACAGGCACACAAATGCATGCATTCAAGCCCGTGCACATGCTCACACACAGGGGCGGGTTTTCTGGGAAAATCATCTCCATCTCTTATACTTGGGTCTGGAAAGTGCTGCCCTCCCTTTGGGCAGTTGGATGGTGACTGAATGAGTTCAAGTTACTGCCAACTTCAGCAATCTATGGGGCAGAATCTTGGAGGAGAGGTGGGTGCTGCCCTGAGCCTACTGGCCTGTACCTATGGACCACTACTCTCTCGGTGACTCAGAGATTCGAGGCAAGTGTTTTATGCCTCAGCTCCTTCACTGGTAAAGTGGGGACAATAGTAAGATGAACATTAATATACTATCCTGGTAATTAAGTGAGAAATCAAATGTAACATGCTTAGTGCTGGACCTTGCCAGAGCAGTACACAGTGAGTTTTAATTTCAAGCTTGCTCAACATTATGCAGTACCCCCCAGTTTCCCAAACCCGATGTGCTACAGTGAATGCGGAAATACAAGGGTAACCCCTGTCTGGGCTTAGGCTCCACGAGGCAGCTGCAGTGCTGGGCTCTGAGATCCACATATTACGAATTCCACATATTGTCACTCTAACTAGGGATTGCTATGAGCCGCAGAATTACGAAGTAGGAATTCAGCCGACTATGGCAAAAGCTGTTCCAGAGGATAAAGCCAAGTCTTAAGGCGTCTTGGTGATATTGGCTTTTGAATATTAGCCATTTCCTGCAATGAATTTCTCATGGGCTATTGTAGCTTTTCCATTCCTAGAACAGTGTGTTTGATCATCCATTGGGCACAGTTTCCCCTATACAATTAAAGACTTTGGATAATATCTCCCAACTGTGCTAACAGCAGTCACACAGCAAGATCCCTAATTTCAGGCCTTTTTGTAATTATCGTCATTAGCAACATCTGGCCAGGGCCTTCTCTGGACGAAAGTATCTTATCTGAGATACTTCCCAGACTTTCTAAGAACAGACTGCAGATAGATGGCATCCAGGCTATCTGTTAGAGAAGGCCAGGCGGATATGGTTATGAAGCTTAACCCTCCTCTCTTCCAAGTGCCATCTATAGCTCTAGATCTCTTTTTAACAATTAACCCAGAACTAAAGGGCTTGTACTTACCAGGTACATCAAGCTGTGACTCAGGTTGCCTAGCTACCGAGTACACTTTCCCTGCTCTGGCAGAAAATGGCATAGCTAAAGGAAGATAAGCTTGGACAAACTTTGGCACCAAAGAAAAGTAAGGCAGTTTTCTTTTCACCTGTGACTTAGCGAATTATAGGCTCTTAACATTTTAACTAACTGCTGTGGGATGGTCTTTATGTCAAATGTGTTGCTGATTGGTCAATAAATAAATCACTGATTGGCCCGTGGCCAGGCAGGAAGTATAGGCGGGACAAGGAGGAGAATAGAGCTGGGAAGTGGAAGGCTGAGAGAGAGACACTGCCAGCCGCCATCAGGATAAGGAAGATGTAAAGTACCGGTAAGCCACAAGCCACGTGGCAAGGTATAGATTAATAGAAATGGATTAATTTAAGCTGTAAGAACAGTTAGCAAGAAGCCTGCCACGGCCATACAGTTTGTAATCAATATAAGTCTCTGTGTTTACTTGATCGGGTTTGAGCGGCTTGGGACTAGCGGGTGAGAGATTTGTCCAGACTGTGGGCCAGGCAGGAAAACTCCAGCTACAACTAACCACTTCTAAGAATGTAGTTCGAGCACATAAGTTCCCTTCTAACTGAATTTAGCCCTCAGTTGATTCTATTGCCCATTAGTCACTTCCCTTTTGGGTTGCTATGATGGCTGACAATTGCTGTTCTTTGTGTGAATCTTATTGCCCCTCCTTTTGACCCTGTAAGAATTCAAGCCTGTGTGACCTTGCCTTGGCCAGAGAATTGCTGCTTTGTATGGGTAAATAACTGAAAACCTCAGAAACTTGGGAGGACTACATTGCGGAACTAGAAGAATGAGATGGAAGATGAGGAAGAGCCAGAAGGGAGAGAACTATATGGGAAAGATCTAGATGGGGTAGAATTACGATGGGAGAATTAAGATAGAACTTAAAGAGAACAGCAGAAAATTATAGAGAGAAATCAGACAAGAGAGGAGCTAAGCATGAGAGCAGAAAAGAAGCTGTGTAGAGAGAAAACTGACTCAGGAGAATAAAGTGAATGGACTAAAGAGCTTCGTGTATGTAGATTTATTTGTTATAAGGGAGAATATGTGTTTGTTTTTCTGAGTCTGCGTTAACCTGATTAATACTATATGTCCAAGTCCATCCATTTTCCTGATTACATTTTCTTTACAATGGAGTATTATTCCATTGTGTATATGTACCACACCTCCATCATCTCTTCACCTGTTGATGGACATTTAGGCTGGTTCTATTTCCTAGCTATTATGAATACAGCAGCAATAAACATGGATGTGCAGATATCTCTGTGGTGGGAGATGGAGGTTTTGGGGTATATGCCCAGGAGTGGTATAGCTGGGTCATATAGTAGCTCTATTTTTATTTTTTATTTTTTGAGGAACTTCCTACTGATTTCCATAATGTTATAGTAATCTTCACTCCTATCAGCAATGAATAAGGGTACCTCTTCTCCAATATCCTTGCAACATTTGTGGTCAGATTCCTTTCTTCCTTCTTTCCTTCCTTCCTTCCTTCCTTCCTTCCTTCCTTCCTTCCTTCCTTCCTTCCTCCCTTCCTTTCTTTTAAGAAACTAAATACGGGTTTTATTTATTCACTTAATTTAAAAATGTTTTTTTTTTGTTTTTTGAGACTTTCATACAATATATTTTGATCATATTTTTGACTGGGGTGAGGTGGTATCTCAAAGTAGATTTAGTTAGCATCTCCCTAATGACTAGGGATGTTGAAGACCTTAAAAAAAGTCATTGGTAATCTTTTGAGAGCTGTCTGCTCATCCCAATAGCCCCATTTGGTAGTTTTGTTTCTTTGACATTTAATTTTCTAAGTTCTTTGTAAATTCTGGATATCAGGTCTGTCTCCCCTGCACCCCCCAAAAAGCTTTTTCTTATAGAGTAACACAATTAAAATGGAAAATTCCTACCTCCCACTGAATTAAAACAACCCTTGGAATTTCTATTGCTAGCGAAGTTAACTCTTAAATTAAAAAAATTCTACACAGCCACACTAAGCCTCCAAGTGGGGAACAAATGTATGTTTGGTAGGTAAAGTGATGAGGACCATCTCCTATAATGCAGTGTGAGACTCTGTGGTTGCAGGAACACCGTGAGATGGTCACAATGTGCTTCCTCCCTTGGATACCTGAGCACATTCCTTCCTGTATGGCATCCCGTGTCTCTTCCACAAGAGCTTAACCTGAGAGGACTCGGCTGTGCATTCCACACACCTTGAGAGGCAGTGGGCTGGGTGCCAATAGAAGAAGCAATAGCAGCTTTTATTTGTGTCTTTGCTTGTATTTAAACCCTGAAAATTACGTGTAGAAAATGATCAGACTGCTTCCCCTGTTTCCCCATTAGGCTTCTCCTCCTAAGCCAAGTCCAGGAAGCGTAGGGAGCACACTGCAACAGGAAAAAGTGTGTCCCCGCTTTATTTGCAGGGTCTTGGCATATAGTCCAGGCTAGCCCAGAGCTTGCTGTAAAGCACAGGCTAGCCATCAAGTGCTAGGATTATAGGGGTATGTCATCACACCCCACAGTTTGTTCCCACATCCAGAGTGCAGTCTGATGCTTCCCCCTCCGGTGGCACCACCCAGTGCAGAGGCCAGCGGAGGCCTGGGGTGGGGAGTGCGGCTGGGGAGCTCACCATTTCTGTGATCTCGGCAATGTCCTCTCTGTGCTCCCAGCTGGGAAACATGTTGGTGAACGTCAGGGGCTCTAGCCCAGCATGGATAAGGTAAGACTTGGGGGGTGGCCTTTTGAGATTCTTTCCTGTAGGGATGCAGAATGCACATGTCAGTGGACCCGAGGAGACTTTCCTCTCCGTTTTTCCTTTTTTTTTTTTTTGTCCCATTTTCCATCAGAACACTGACTTTCACATTTAAAATGTGGATTGTGAGTCACTCATAACAATGCCTGGGTGCTGCTTTACCTGAAAGGCGACTCTTATGCTTATCTCTTTCACACAGATGTGACATCGACCTGACCCCCCTACTTTGGAACCTGACAAAATGTTTCTGGACCCCTAGGGGGACAGAAAGCTCTCCTGGGAACTCCCACCAGGCATGGCTGCTTCCCTTTCATCTGCCTGTGGCGGTTTCCCCTGAGCAGGACAAGCTTCAATAGCGCGCGTGACAGCCAATGACAGCATTTTCCAGGTGCCGGTGAGCATTGAAAGGTTGCTCACAAAGAGCTTTCCACGGAAAGAATGGACTGTACACACTCAGGTGTGTTAAGCGAGCCAGTAAACTGTCAACATGCAGACAGGGCATTAGTTACGGGCGTCTACTATACGTAAAAGGCCACAGATTTCATGTGGGATGCTGGTTAAGAAACCAGGGATTTACTATGGATTTTTAAGTTCTGTTTTATTTCTCTTGTTGGCTACAATACCCAAGAAAGGCTGGCACTGGCTTGTAGCCAGTTCGAACGCATTTCTGTTCTCTAAAGCAGGCGCTGCCTGAAGAGAAAGGTGAGCCGTGGAGGCCACCCAGCTACTCACGCCCACATACCGAGGGGTGTCAGTGCCCGCGACGCCAGTGCGGGCGGCTCCACAGTGCACCATGTGGGTAGCCTCATCGTGTGAGAGAGAAACATGGACCCTTTGTTCTGGCAGCAGAGAATGCATTGATCTTAACACTGACAAGCCTCTAGCGGTTAAAGGGGCAGCGCTGGAGCCTTCTCAAGGCTGGTGGCATCTCAGAAGGGACGTGGCTGGGCCTGCGGTGGCTCTCCGCCCCCTCCCTTTGGCCCTCACCTCGGCAGTACTGCAGGACCGTCTCCATGGCGCTCTTCCGGTCTGAGGCCCAGCGAATGCGGGCAGAGCCGGTTATCTTGTTCTCGGTGGGCCACCAGCCTTGCCAGAGGTACACCTCGTGGTGATTGTCAACCAGGAAGAGTGCTGCGAGGTAAGGGCAGAAGCAGGCCATGAGGGACACTCCTTCACAGACCTTCCCGGCACGCTGCCCCAGTAGACGCCTCGCTGCTGTCCCAGCTGTCCCCAAAGCCCTCTCCCCAAAGTTCAGAGTGATGAGTCCCTGGAGGTTCCTGCACACTCCGCCCTCTCGTGTTAACCTCTGAAGGCCCCTAGCAGGACAAGGAGGAGACTCAAGGAAGGTCTCTTGGTTTCCTTCCTTTCCCAGCTCAACCAGAGAGTGCTGGCAGCCCTTTCAGATGTCACTGGACCCTTGCTGCTGGCCACCTCTGGTCTCTGTGGAGCTCACATCTGGCTTGCTCTTAACTCCCATGATGCTCTGAGCGGTAATGGTTCTTTTACAGGGAAGTGAATTTTAGGCAGAGTCCTCCTGTCTCTTCCTCGTCGTCTTCAAGCCTCCACCTGACTCTAACTCTATGTGGCAAAGTGCTCTCCAACTTGACAGCTCAGTGGCACTGAGGTCCCTCCTGATGTGCGTTTGGGGACTGCTTGAAAAGCCAGTGGGTGTTGATGATCCCTCCAGAGCCCTGGAAAGCAAGGGGCTTTCTCTTTCAGATACTCATGGCTGCTGCCCAGTGTGACTGTAAGCATCTGCCAAGCTCTGAGCTGGTGGTAGGGTAACTGTGGTAAAACGAGGCACCGGGCTGCACCTCCAGGATGTGGACCAACTATGTGCTCAAGGGCTTGATTGGCAGGAAGTGGGAGGGTCTACAGAGCCCATTTCCTTTGTATAGGTTTGGGCATTAGGGCATGGCTTTTGGGAACACTACTGAACTTGGAATTGGGAGATCTAGTCTGCATTCTTAATTCTACTGAGAGCTTTCTTTCCCAGGTCCTTTTCCTCAGCCACTTGCTTTCCCAGGTTCCTTGGCAGCTGGAGTGGCCACATGACATCTTCTGGCCAATGGGACGAAGCAGAAAAGCTGGAGGGACCTAACGAACTGCCCCTTTCCCGTTTCCCCAGTTTCAAACAGAAACATGAGGGGTGGAGCAAGGGTAGCTCACACGGGACCATGAAACAGGAAGCTGGAGAGGAAGGCTGGGCGAATGGCAGGGATGCCGGATGGTACTGTCAACTGGCTCTTTGGATGTAGGAAGTAACTGAGTTCAGGTCCTGATACAAGGCTACGTGGCTGACCTTGTTTTCTTCTGCGGCGGGTGGATAAAAGGAGATGTCCTGCGCAACTACACTAGCAGTGTACTTGACGGATAAGAACTCCTTAAAGAGAATGGGCAAGAAGGGCTTCCGGGAGGGCGCTATGCACCCCCACCACGCCCCCTGCAGGCCTCACCTGGCTGCGGCGCGCTGTACAGATCCTCCTGCAGGAAAGGCATGGAGCTGACGGCAGAGGGCGCTCGCGCGGGGTACACGAACTCGGTCGCCGAGAAGTCTCCCGAGGAGCTGCTGAGGATGAACAGGCGGGGCGCGAAGTTAAAACTTCCAGGATCTTCCAAAGAAAAGAGAACAAAGCTGAGGACACCGTATGCACCAGCTTCCGCATGGACTGACGGCAAAACATGAAACGACTCAAAGAACTGGTGGAAAATAGGCAGGGTTTGGTTTATATCTGTTTCTGATGGGGAAATCTGTGTTTGTGTGTGTGTGTGTGTGTGTGTGTGTGTGTGTGTGTGTGTGTGTGTGTGTGTGTGTGTGTGTGGTTTTTTTTCTTTTTGCAGCGTTGGAAAAATACTTCCTTTTGTTATTTCTGTTAAGAAAGAAAGTTGGCCCAATGTCTTGGAGGACACTGGTTGATATAGGAGTCACATGTCTAGGAATTTACCTTAATTATGGATAAACATAAATAATTATTTTTAAGGGTATACCAACTACACTATACTATTGTATAATACAGAACATACTGGACATTCACTCCCCGGATATGGAGGATGGCTAGGTAGAGTGGAATACATTGCAACGCACTAATATCACTAAGGTCTCAGTGGCAGCAAGGTGGTCACTGAGGCAATAAAGGGAGAGATTGGCTTACAGGACAGTCATCCTGGTTGTCTCTTTATTGGGAAACGCATAGGAAGTACAGGAACACCTGGATTCTGGTTAGCTGAGACACGTGACTTGCTGAACACAGGCTGCTCAACAGAGATGGTTAATAGAAGGAAGTTTGTTTTATAGTTTGTACGATTATAATCATGTCTATTTTAGGGAAAGTCAGGAAGGCACGTGTTCACACCCCTTTACTTCAGTCTGGTGAGTGGGGACAGCCATTCTGAAGTCTGTGCATGAAGCAAAGGAATTGTGTGCTTAGATTTGGGTCCCAACCCCAAGATATCCTAATTTTATAAAATTCAGAAAATCTTCCAGCTTCTGGGTTAGGTGGTCCCCCACCTTTCACTCACACACCCCGCCAGCTACTCTGACCTCTAGTGCATTCCGGGTCTCTCTGGGTTTGCTACCTTCTCCTCTCTTGACCCCCGTGACATCCCACTGATCTAGTCCTGTGTCTTGTGTATTCTCTTTTTGTCTACTGCCTTGTAAATGACAATAAATGCTTATGAATTAGCTCCTAGGCCATGAACATCAAATCCTCAAACCATGCCTACAGTGTACACACCTATTTTACTCTGTCCTTTGAGAGGATTGTGCCCCTTTTTCTCACAGGGATCTATGAGCCCCTAAAAGGTTAAGATCAACTGAATGAAGGCCGTGGGTCCCACAATCCTTCCTTCTGCCTGCCTCCTTTGGCACACTCAAGGTCATGCCATTCCATGATGGCCTCTCCTGTCCATCCCTGAGTTTCAGGTTCCAAGTTCATAAGCTGCTGATAACTGCCACATGCTCATGTCTCATAAAGCATCTCCCAGTAGGCATCGGACATCAGCTATTGCCTTCGAAGCCTCCCCTTCCAGCCACAACTGTCTCTGTATGGCCTGGGGCTTGCTGCTCAAGATTCTCCTGGTCTGGTTGGGACAACTGTCTCACTGGGGTTCCCACTGCTTCCTTCAGCCAACAGTTTGTCATGTTACTGCTCATCGAGTTTCTCAGACTTTCCTTCTCTTCTGGTCAGGTCATACCAGCCTCAGACAAATACCATCTTCCTCGGGTCTGTGGATGACTTTTCCTGCCGGGAAAAATCCTGTCTTTTCCATGCTCACACTCTTTCATGACACGCAACTTCATTTGCATGAAAACGAGTCACATACAGTGTATGGCTTAGCTTCCTTTTTAGAAGACATCTGTCCTCTGGGAGACCTACCCCTTGGTTTTATTTACTGTGTGCTGTACACAGCACATGCTCAGAAAATCTTTGTATATGTGTGTATGTGGTATACATGTATATGTGAATGCATGCATGTGGCGCCTGAGCACTACCATGTGGCATCCCAAGGAAAGCCACCCACTGCCTTTGAGACAGGGCCTGCCATTGGCCTGGAGCTCATCAATTAGACTGGCTATCAAGGCCCAGGGGCCTTTTTGTTCTTCTCCCCCAGCTCTAGGCTTTTAAGGGTGCACCGCTTTACCCTACGATTTTACATGTGTTCTGGTGATAAATCTTGTGTCTTCATGCTTGCAGGTGGAACCATCCCGCTAGACCTCATTAGGTCTCTAGTGAAAAAAATTAGTGAGTGAATTGAGGAACAGAAGAAGACGGACGCCATGGACCGTGTTGTGCCATTACCTTGAAGCATGCAGTCATAGGCTTTCCTGTCCCTCCTCCCCAGGGCGTCCCAGAATCCCAGGGGCTCGGATCCTTCATCACACTCATGTATTGTCACATTGCTGCTGCTGTGCAATCCTGCTTCCAGGGGACATCTGCAAGGGAGACAGGCCGGGAGGTTTGCATAGGTCTGGGGAGTGCCCGGAGCACAAATCACTCGAGACCAAATCCACAAGCCGCTTCGCTCCCTCTACTTAATAGCAATTCTCACTGATGAATGAAAAAAATATCCCGTGAAAATTCTACCAGCATTTGTGCTGGAAGGAGGGCCAGTTTGCTCTGGGGAAGAATGGGCAGACATATGTAATATGTCACGAAGACGACAGTGCAAATGTTTGTCTCTAACACAGCATTTTCCCATTTACTGTCCTCTCCTGCAAGTACTTCATTAGGACGAAGAGGAGTTTATTTCACTGCTGACCGCCTGGTCCCTTGTTTGGCACCAAGTAGGTGCTTAGGAAGCATTTGCCAAATAAATACGTGAATGCGTTTGTCATCATTTTGCTTTGTTCTTAGTGGCCCAAGTGAAAAGCGTCTTGGATCCCTCATGCCACATCTTTTGAACTCCTGCACCTCCACTGCCCACAGGAGGATGTTCTGAGAGTATGGTTTCATCTGTCTGCCTGTTGGAAGGTTGCTCGTTTTTCTTCTCTCTGCCCTTACTAGTCAGCACCGACCTTAGAGGAGCTGGGAGGAAGGCAGATCTCATTGTCCCATTTCAGGGCCCGCAGAACTGACCCAAGTTGCCCTTTGTGGTGGAACACTTCATTTTTAGGAAAGAATTCAACTGTTCTTGAGGAATTGAGACCACCCAGGCTGCTGGTGAGAGCAGAGACACAGTGGCAAGCCCCCTCTGGCTATGTTCTTCCTCCTGAGGACCTTACCCATCAAGAAGTCCCCAGAAGAGAACCCCAGCAGTGCTATACCCTCGGGCTGCTGACCTGGGGGGGTGGTCTGAGAACTCACTGCCAGCTGCTGCCACACAGCTGGGGCTCCCCTGCTTTCTAAAGAAGGGTCATGTTATAGTCCCCCCACTTTCACTTTGCCCTTTCTGCCATTCCAATAAAACACATACTCAGACCCCTATGAGACATCGGCATGGGCTGGCCCTCTTTACCAGAAGAGGCTGTAAGCTGAATGC